TTACAATGATAGGGTATATCAGCCGAGTGCTTTATCTTTTCTACCGAGTAAGTCGGTTACTTCAGTAACTATTTGAGTAAATTTTCCACTTTATTCAATTCATATGAAAAAGAAGAGATTTATACACGAAAACTATTTTACAATAACGCATGCATTTCTGACACATATTTACAAAAAGAAACACTTCTCTTTTCATAATATGATAAAATAACAGATGAAGATATTTAATCCATGGTAAAAATTATTCTAATTTCTCATACGATACGATTTATAACAAATATATTCACGATGTTTGCCATTCTTCAATGTCCTATCAATAGTGGTTCCAAGGTTTATCTTGTGTCGTATTGTCTCTTTTTTCAGCAGGCTATTGTGAACCTTTCGAAACTGAACAAGTCTAAAAGTAGCTATATTCATTGATATAAAGTACAAAACATCATACCCTTAAATCTCTATTGTCCATGAAAATGTCATGCTTCCTCAGATTTTGTAAGTCGATCTATAAATGATCATTTCGGTGACCAATGACGGACAAAGGGTTAAGAAAAACACTATCACCTTATTCTCTTACATAAATACATCGAGATACTACATATAATAGTTGAAATGTGAGTGCTCACACTCATGAATATGTATTTGTAATTATTGTTGCTTCAATATTAATTCAAATTTGCTGATACTTATTTCTAATGATTTTAGGAAATATCATAAGACACTGCTGAAAATGAAAATAATTTCTTTTCTGAAGTACTGAAAGGAAATTCCTCTGTACAATAGTATAAATGAATGATTCATCTTTGTCATTTAGTCATTGTTTTTACCATTTTTGACTATAGTAGATACTGATTATTGATAATAAATCTATTATATTTTAAATAACTCCGTAATGAATCATTTAATGATACCATTGTTTCTCCCATAGAATAATTAAATGACTCAATTATCAGCAAATTTGAATTAAATTCTGTTGTTCGTAAGAAAATCTCCTTTTAATGCACGACAAAAATTATTTTCAAATAAAATAACGGGCGAGGCAAAAAATTTTGAAGTAAGTTTATTATTTATATACAGAATTCGATTGAAAATATTCGCCAAAGATCATAAAAATTTTAGAACAAAAAACATCGAAAAACTCTTCAGCGACTGTTTTTCAAGTTAGGAAAATATTTTATTAAAGTAGATTAACAATGTAAGGATACAGAACTATTGCTAACAAAAAAAAAAAAAGAATTCTCTACATAACACAGATCCTCTGTGAGATATAGAGTCAATCATGTTTTCGTTTGTAAAGCTTTTAATCGAATTCTATGCTGTTTATTCTATTATATGCTAGACCTATTATTTTGATACCACGCGAAAGCCTTCGTCGCAATAGACAAGGTGCTCAAAAATAGTTAAAGTGGATAATGAAAAAGATCGAAAGAATACATTTGAGTAAAAAGAAGTTTGCACCAAAGTTGCGGAAGAGTTTTCAAATATGCTTTTTGCTTCGAATTAAACTCTTTTATAGATTTTTGCACCAAACACTTCGCTCTTTCTAATGAAAAGAAAAGGAAATTTATACGACTTTCGATCACAACGCTTTGTTAAAAACAAAATTAATGCAGAAATTTTGCTCCCCGCCCCCGTAATATACAATATAAGACATGTAATGTAATACAACATCTCTATAACATAAAAATACTATAATTTTCCTTCATTGTTAAATCATGTTTAGTTTGTTTATAAAAAAAAATAATTAAACGTAAATTGTACGAAGGAAAATTTAATGAAAGACATGTTAATAATATAGATAAAAGTGTTTTTGTTAAATGTATATCCTTCATAATATATCTTTGAGATGAATGATGACGTTGTTGTTTTTTACTTATCGTTTGATGAAAATTGATCAATAAAAATAATACTATCAAAAATATGTTGATGAAATGTAGTTAAACAAAATAATTTTGTTTCTATGAGGAAAATTAATAGCAAAAACAAAGATACATTCTACTGTAAATGCAAACACCATTCTTATATATAAATATATTCAATTTATTATTTTGTTCCTACTAAAAATGTTTGTGAATTTTAAATCCATCATTTTATATAAAAAATGAATGAGTTTAATTGCCTTTCACCTATGAAATAGTACCTACACCAGCACAGATTTTAGACTGTCCGGTTTAATTTAATCTACTCAGATCGGTACTGATGTCAGTCGTCAAAAAGCTATGCTTGTTCTACTTATCATCTCAGATGAAGCAGTTTCAGACAAAGAACTTATCACATTCCTATCACTCATAGTAGATAATCTCTGTTTTAATAATCTTCACGTTCTGTATCTTATTTAGTTCTCTTTGAAAAATCCACACTTTTTCTAGAACAAGGCCGCACAAAATGTCGATCTTTATATTTGTTTGGTAAATACACTTTGAAAAGAATATTTTATTTCATCAGTCAGTAAGAAATGTTCTGCTCTTTTGAATAGTATATAATTTATATTTGTCACACATTCGTAAACGAGATGAGATGAGAAAAGAATAGGAGCGCGTACACAATAAATTTGTAATTTTTATATGAATTTGTCAAAAAAAATCTCGTAGATGACAGCTTAATTCGTTTTACAAGATCTTTTTAATGAGTTCACAAAAATCGGATTCATTTTTGTTCAACAACGTGTTTTTAACGAATTCATATAAAAATTACGGATTTCTTGTGCGAGTGTCTTTCTTTCTGTGTCATCCCATTTCATTTACGAATGTATGATAAACAACAAGCATACGCTGTTCGAAAGTGGAGAAAAAGTTCTATTTTTCGATAAAAAAAATGTTCAAAATCTTTCTATCAAAAAGAATCAAGAATTAACATTTTGTGCCATTATTTTTGTGTCGTATACTATTTATATGATATCGTCGATTCCACGCTGTTTTAATGATTCTACATGTATTTCAAAAAAATATATTTGCCGTGAAAAAAAGGCAACATCTAAATTCTGTTCTTTTTGGTGTGATTAGATCAGGGAATCATTTTTTCACATCAAGATCTGATTTAAATAGTTTTAATAATGCTTCTTTCTTTGTCTTCATTTAAACGTGCTTCATTTATATGGTTTTATATATAATTAACACGTTCAATACATTTACTAGTTAATTTTTCTGATTAAATCGCAATTATTAGAAATAGCTTTTTTTTCATCTCTTCAAATAATATTTCATATTTTACGACACATGACATTTCAGATGATAAATAATCTTTTAATGTTAAACAACAACATAATAGGATTGAATATACACATTTTTGAAAAATGTTAATACTTCTGATTAGTCTTCAATCAAATATACACAAACACGAACAAAGTCTTAATGTTTATCTAAATTAAATTATTAAAAAAAGATAGTGGATTTTTCATATCACCAATACTACAAGCCATATAATCTTTAGCTTCTTCATGATGTTAATAAAGTAAATATTGAAATGGAGCTTTAAAAAACTATTTATTTTTACTGTATAAATAAACAGATTCATCAAGATTTCGAAATATATAATTAAGTTCAACTCAATTCTCTATACCAAAAAACATTCCATTGATTCTCGAAAATATTTTTTTCATAATTTAAAATTTTTTAAATGTATACATGGTGTCATGAATTAATTCATTTGTTGTTGTTTGAAATTTCCATTCTCCTGTTTGATATTGAACTTGAAAGATATCATTGGAAATAAATTCACTTAAATTTAATAAAGTATTTAAATTAGCTGCAAGATCACTATCATCATCTGCTGTTGATTGAATTAATAATTTCGAAAGATTTGAAGTAAAATTCAAGAATTTTACTTCCGTAATTCACCAACCCCTCGGAAAAAACAGTTTTCTCATATGATCAGTTTTGTATTGTTGATTAATAATATTACTATCGGCATGATGACTAAGGAATTCATCATTTGTATTAACACTTATTTGTAGATTACTAAAACAACGTCAAAACCAATTCTGTGTAAGAAAAAAAAGCAATTTATTCTAATGATTAGTAATAAAAGCGAATAAGAAGAAAACACAAGTTGATTGATCATGAATAATAGAGATTAGAGATTTTATTCTGAGTAGGGGTGTCAGCTTTGCATTTCGTTTCCAGAAACGGGGAACACATAGTACTCTCACATAAAATGATAAGTGAAAAAGTATAAAAAACTCAGCATAGTGCAACAATACTAGAAAATGTAATATGAGATGCTTTCCCGTTGCTTAGAAACGGAACGCTCAAGAACGGGAATGCTGGCAACCCTAATTCTGAGACATACTAACAAAACTCTGTTGAAAGGATATGATCACGTTAAGCATATGATAATCGATCATAGAATATGTGACGTATGGATCGAATAATGCTGTTTTAGATACTTCTACATGGTGAAAACAAGCGAAAGGGTATGGGGTAGAGGGTGGGTCTGCATGAAGAGAAACCTTACACCCACATGCTCAGCATGTTTAGCAAATATTGCGTTGTACACGGTTGTGAGATAGCAAGCAATGCTTATGTGTTCAATCCAGTAGCTATCGCGTTACGTTGTATGTAATCTTCTGTTAATCTTACAAATTTCGAACCACACCTAAGGCTCTCAAAGCATTCTGTACGACTTAGGTCAAGACATGACCTCTTTCTTCTGCTTCGTCCGACTTGTGCGAGTAACTACAAGACTGCTCGTTGCGAGCCCCGCTTTGGCAAAGCAAAATGACCTCTAATGGAGCTTGCCACATGCATTCTTAACCAGCTTGTTTTCTTGCTACATCCGGTTTCAATGCACGTATGTGACTGATGTGAGAAAAGATGTGAACAACGAATAGGATTGGAAATAATTCAGAAGCACCTGAAGGCAATTAATTCTAGCGAAATACGCAGAATTCTTTGCAAACTTGCCGAATATGATCAATATTTATTTGTACTACAAATCCGTTAAACATAGCGTTCCTAAAATAAGCGTTATCTCGCTCATCACTATCAATTCTACGTGAACTGTACTGGTTAGGAACGTTGAATATTCACCATTTGAGCTGTATGACCGAATATGTTCTGCAAATAGGTATTTGTTGGGTGAGCGACGTTATCATTGATCCATGTTTTGCTCAGGTTGAGAAGCGAAGAATCCACTGACCATTTCAATCCTGAAGCTGGCTGTTGGGAACTCTGTGGAACGTAGCTGATTGTCGAACCCGATTGGAAAGCCCAACGTGTTGAACCAATAGATCCAATGATGATCGAATTGATCGCCGTCGCATTTGTTGCTGCACCATTGACGGCATTTGGATTGACAAAGCCGAGTGAGTATCCATCGGCACCTGCAGGAACAGGATAGCGCACACAAGTCATCTTACTACCAATGATGAGTGTGCGAACGAACGCATAGTGACTGGCAGCACCGACCTGAATTGCTGCATTCGTGCTTCCGAATGCCACCGTATTTTCGAGTTGAATATTAGAGTATGTACTCGCTCCGGAGAACTGAAGCGAATCAGTATGTGCCTTCGAGCCAGCTTCACGGTAAGATGGCGCGAAATAGCAGCCGAGAAAGCGAACGTTGCTGACCGGTGCATTTGATCCTGTACGAAATGCAGCTGTATCTGCATTGTTATTCACATCGTACTTTACGTTTGCGTCTGGAACTACCATGTTGACAAATTCGATATCCCACGAAGGTGTGTTATCGAGTGTTTGCCCACCGAAGTAGGACAGAGGAGCCATATTAAATACAGAGCTCTCTGTGCAATCCACGGCGAGAAAACCTCGTGTGCGTCCAAATGTACCAGTACCTGTGAACTTGAAACCACCGAATGCAATCCCATAGCAAGATTGAATCTTAACACTGTCGTTGAACGTACACGAGCCCCAATCTCCGATTGGAGTAATGAGAATCTTACGTTTCCGACCCTTCTTGCCGATATTTTTGAGAAACGGAGTCGATCCTGATCCAGCGCCAGTGCCGATAACGTTTCCAGCTTTAACAAATACCACAGCACCTTCATTCACTTGTTGGTCAGTAAAGCTATTCGCTGCTTCTTCGATCGCTGCGGCATTGAATGGAACGACTTTTTTATGCTCTGAATCAAACAAATGTGCTTCTGCAATAGTTGGTGTACGAGAAGGATAATGCTCGATACTGGGACCATAGATAGTACTGGTTCCAAAAACATTCAGAAGATTATAGGAAGCAAACAAGACCAGAAACGCAACTTTCATCATTCTTTCGTTTTTCTCATCAATAAATGCCATCAGTCGCAATCTTTTATTCACACGAAAAAAAAGGGATTACAGTTTTCTAATCAAAATAGGATGTACTATTTCATTAAATATATGTTTGCCAAATGAAATGCAATATGATATTAGATGTGTATTCGACTTAAGCTCCACTTTGAAAACAATAATAATTCATTTCAAAATAAAAAATAGACTGCTCTTTCTTGAAAAGCTTCAAAAAACAAAGAAAAAATTTTCAGCTAATCAAATTTGTAAGCTCACTATCAGAAGAAAGGTGCATACTAACGACTGTGTATGCACTCAGACAGAGTTTCGCTACTATTACGCATTCGAAAATTTGGAATTTATTACAGTTCAAGAAGGATGCTTCCAAACAAATAATTTGAGATAGTTGTTGTAAGTAGTTGGTTTGAGATCATTTTGTAAGATGCTAAAGTTAAGGGCAATGTTCTGTTATATTTAGTTCTGTTTTGCAGTTATTAAAGTCTGTGTGGAAAATCCTAATATCTACTATTCTGTGATCAGAACTGAGTTTCATAGTGGCTGTGATTTGATTGAATCCATGGTACTGTATTAATTTTCCCCATTTGAATATCGTGATTATAATCAGAAACCAAATGTGTGAATAGTTCTAGAAGATGGTTAGTAAAATTTTCAATTTATCTGCACATGAAACGTTTCTTGAACAGCCAAGTTTCACCGTTGGTGAAAGGAATTCTAATATCGTATTTGATTTTTGTGCACGGTGAGTGGGTATGATTCTTTGACAGCTCGAAAATAAAGGGACTTGGAACATATTCGAGCCGGTTCAATACTAGTCTCTACAGGGTATTCTTTGAAGTGTTGTTTGATTAATGAAATGAGGCGCAATGTAAAATTAAGAAGAATGTGTAAAACAAACAAATCGCGAAACTTAGGTGCTAGTGATTCCTCGTGGTGCTTAGCGTAGAGCTCCTCATAATTTTTGAAATTAACTACATGAGTCAACTTCAAGAATATGTTCAATACACAGATTCGGATGGCTCCTTGCGATGATATGATATATCACAATGTTTTTTGTAAAGTATATTTTTGAAACAGGAATACAATGACAATGATATACGACGTAAACAATGAGTAATTTAGAAACAACGGAAGCACAATCAATCAAAGTTCGAATATTGAGAGCACTATTCTTTTCTCGGTACTACTACTGAACTGACTTGAATTCTTACATGACACCATCGTTGTTTGAACCAACAATGTCGTGCCAACTTGACTGCACACGGTATGATCAATTGAAGAATAGTAGTGAGACCGCCAATCAACTCAATGATGATAGTGACAATGCAAAGAACATCATACTTGACAACATAAAAATACGTATACTCAATCGGTTAACATTGTTTATAATAAGCAGAATAATTGACATCAGTATACCAGAATTTGATTGTTATTTTTTGCATCATAACATTGATCGGAGTCATTATATTGTATTGATCGTTGCCGGAATTATTCAAGGCTTTTGAGGCTCTGACTAGGCAGGTCGGGTCGGCATGACGCCTGTCAGAAAAGGATTCGAAATTAAAAAAGGAATGCCGTCGAGGACAGCTTGCATGACATGCGATAGTGAGATGTGTTGGACTAGTCTGGACGGGTCTACATCTAAACATACTGAAATGTGAAAGATTAGATTCGAACATGTGTACAATATATAACTTACCGATCATTTAGACCATTGAATCATACGTTCGAGAAAACTATCTCTTCATCTTGCTAATCGTCAGTACACATGTTTTAAGAAAATTTCACTTGGAATTTTTTTTAAATTGTTGTACTTATAAAAAATATTATTTTAGCATACAAATATGTACATGAGCCTGAACAAGACGACTTGAGCGTTTTTAAATTTAAAAAAAATGTTAATTGAAAATTTTTAAAAGTTTACGAAAAAAATAATGTGAAAAAGGAGAAAATCCACAATGTTGTTATTTCTATTCATCGCAGAAATACAGTAAATGTAAGGTAAGAAGCAGCATACTTGATATTTGTAGTGTGTTAAAATGAACTGTTAGTGTACCAATGACCATAGCTATACTTATAATGATAGAGAATACACAAACATCAAGAATTTTCAGAAGGATCTGTTGATGCAATGGTTTTGCTCAATTCGTTCAGTTAATACATGATAGTGCCACTTTCGTGTTCAATTTGAACGATTTGTTCAAGATTTTTATTGATAAATTTACCAAGGATCAACAAGTTTTGGGCATACATACTACATTGTATTGAAATAATTATCAAGACTACTGCTTCAACTGTTTCTTTGACGAGCGAATATTTCAGCCGGAGTTAGCAGACATATTTTTGTTTTAGTCTTCAATCCGAAGTTTTTAAAACAACCAACGATATAACTATTAGCTACTTCTATCAGCGTTCCGCACGACTTCAGCATCATCATTTTAAGGATCGTGATCGTGCAAAATCCTCTCCTTTTTGAATAAATTTTGGAAAATTTATATTCAAAATATCCAAACGGAAAATTGTTATTTTGAGTGTGGATGTAGGAGTGTACAGATATGTGGTTGCAGGTCTCGTCTTCACCCGCACCCACACCGACACTCAAGATAAGGTGAGAATAGACGAAAAATTGTGAGTATAGTTTCTTCATTCAATAATATAAACATTGTCAATTATTTGAAAAGTGTTTTAATAAGCGACGTTGTCATCTCACTTCTATTAGCCAACAATTCCGCTGACTTGGATATTTCCTTACCAAGTATTCCGCCTTCACCATTTTTATCTGGAATATTCGCTATATTGAATGCGATAGTTGGCGCAATATAGATTAATTCATTAATTGCATCCTGTCTAACGAGCAAATCAAAATGTGAATATCTCAGAGTTGCCATAATCACGGGACGACAAACTCTTAGAACTAATGCATGCGTTTCATGTATACACTTGTCCAGCGTTAACTTTGTACGATATAAATCTTTCAATTGTGGGCAAATATCATTGAGAATATTTTCCAATTCACAGATATATTGATGATAGAAATATTCTGCAAGAATATTTGATGTTTGACCAACAATTTCTTCCAATTCAATACATAGTCTTTCGCGCAGCTCATTGTCAGTTGGATGTGAATTTAACTGAAGTTTTGAATAGCAATGTGCTTCAAACATCAGTTGTTCAATTGGATATGTACGTTTACGAAATTCTTCGGTGAGATCGAGAAAAGTGTCGTGAAATTTTTGTCTAACATTATCGACAAATTTTGTACGTTCTTTGGTTACGATGGTTGTATGCCAG